CTTTCCAGGTCTCTCCATGTAGTCTCAAAAGATAAGAGATCTTTCATTTTACATCTGCGTAGTACTCCATTGTGTATATGTACCACAGCTTTTTCATCCATTCGTCTACTGATGGACACTTCGGCTGTTTCCAAATCTTAGCTATTGTAAATAGTGCTGCTATAAACATGGGGGTACATATACTCTTTATGATTGGTGCTTCAGGATTCTTAGGGTATATTCCTAGAAGTGGAATCACTGAATAAAATAGAACTTCAATTCTTAATTTTTTTGAGGTAACTCCATATTGTTTTCCATATTTGCTGCACCAGTCTGCATTCCCACCAGCAGTGCACTAGAGTCCCCTTTTCTCCACACCCTCGCCAACACTTGTTGTTTGATGATTTGTTGATGGCGGCTATTCTGACAGGTGTGAGGTGATACCTCATTGTTGTTTTAATTTGCATCTCTCTGCTGATTAGCGATGACAAGTATTTCTTCATATGTTTCTTAGCCATTTGTATGTCCTGTTTGGAGAGGTGTCTATTTAGTTCCTCTGCCCATTTTCCATTTGGGTTCTTTGTCTTCCTTTTATGGGGTTGTATGAGCTCTCTATATGTATTGGAAATTAACCCCTTATCTGATATATCATTGGCAATTATGCTCTCCCATACAGTGGGTAGCCTTTCCGTTTTGATGCTTGTATCTCTCGCTGTGCAGAATCTTTTGAGTTTGATGTAGTCCCATGTGTTCACTTTCTCCTTTGTTTCTGTTGCCTTAGGTGATGTGTCAGTGAAAATTCTGCTGCGTATGATGTCTGAAATTTTGTTGCCTACAGTTTCTTCTAGAATTTTTATGGATTCATGAGTCACATTTAAGTCTTTTATCCATTTTGAGTTTATTCTTGTGTAGGGTACAAGTTGATGATCTAGTTTCATTTTTCTGCAAGTAGCTGTCCAATTTTCCCAGCACCATTTATTAAAGAGGCTGTCCTTGCTCCACTGTATGCTCTTGCCAACTTTGTCAAATATTATTTGAGCATATTGCCTTGGGTCCATTTCTGGGTTCTCTGTTCTGTTGCACTGGTCTATATGCCTGTTCTTGTACCAGTACCAGGCTGTTTTGATTACAGTGGCTTTGTAGTATAACCTGAAATCTGGTAATGTGATCCCTCCAACTTTGTTCTTTCTTTTCAAGATTGCTGTGGCTATTTGAGGCCTTTTTTGGTTCCATATGAACTTTTGAAATAATTGTTCTAATTCTGTGAAGTATGCCGTTGTTATTTTGATGGAGATTGCGTTGAATCTATAGTTTGCTTTGGGTAATATGGACATTTTAGTGATGTTAATTCTCCCAATCTATGAACAGGATATGTGCTTTCACTTTTTTATATCTTCCTCTATTTCTTTTTTCAATTGCCTGTAGTTTTCTGGGAATAGGTCCTTTATTTCTTTGGTTAAGTTTATGACTAGGTATCTTAATTTTTGTTGCCGCAACGGTAAATGGGATTGTTTACTTAGTTTCTCTTTCTGTGAGTTCATCATTGGTGTATAAGAATGCCATCGATTTCTTGATGTTAATTTTGTTTCCTGCTACTTTGCCAAATTCATTTTAAAGTCTAGTAGTCTTTTGATGGAGTCTTTGGGGTTTTCTATGTATAGTATCATGTCATTTGCAAATAATGACAATTTCACTTCCTCCTTTCCAATTTGGATCCCTTTTATTTTTTCTTCCTGTCTGATTGCTGTGGCCAGAACTTCCAGTAGTATGTTAAATAAGAGTGGCCAAAGTGGGCATCCTTGCCTTGTCCCTGTTCTTAAGGGAAATGCTTTTAGTTTTTGCCCATTGAGTATGACGTTGGCTGTAGGTCTTTCATATATGGCCTTTATCATGTCAAGATATGATCCCTCTATTCCTACACTGCTGAGCATTTTTATCAGAAATGGCTGCTGGATTTTGTCGAAGGCTTTTTTGGCATCTATTCATATGATCATGTGGTTTTTATTCTTCATTTTATTTATGTGGTGTATCACATTTATTGATTTGCGAATATTGTACCAGCCTTGCATTTCTGAGATGAATCCCACTTGGTCATGGTGGATAATTTTTTTTGGTGCATTGCTGGATCCGATTTGCTAGTATTTTGTTCAGGATTTTGGCATCTATGTTCATCAGGGATATTGGCCTGTAGTTTTCTCTCTTTGTTGTGTCTTTTTCTGGTTTTGGAATTAAAATTAAGCTGGCTTTATAAAATGAGTTTGGATGTCTTCCTTCTTCTTGAATTTTTTGAAATAGTTTGAGGAGAATGGGTATTAGTTCTTCTTTGAATGTTCGGTAAAACTCCCCCGTGAAGCCATCCGGGCCTGGGATTTTGTTTGCTGGGAGAGTCTTGATTACATCTTCAATTTCTTCTATTTTAATTGGTCTTTTCAAGTTTTCTATTTCTTCCTGATCCAGTTTTGGGAGAGTATGTGTTTCTAGAAATTTGTCCATTTCGCCTAGATTGTCGAATTTGTTGGCATATAATTGTTCATAGTCGTTGTTAATGATCTTTTGTATTTTTGTGGTGTCAGTTGTTACTTCTCCTCTTTTATTTCTGATTTTGTGTATTTGGGTTCTCTTTCTTTCTTGGTGAATCTAGCTAAGGGTCCATCAATTTTGTTTATCTTTTCGAAAAACCTACTCTTTGTTTTAGTGATCCTTTGAATTGTTTTTTTGGTCTCTATGTCATTTATTTCTGTTCTGATCTTTACTATTTTCTTCCTTCTACTTGCTCTGGTGTTTTTTGTTTGTTTGTTTGTTTGCTCTCCAGTTCTTTACGTTGTGAGTTTAGGTAATCTATTAGTTTTTTCTTGTTTTCTGAGGTAGGCCTGTAGTGCTATGAACTTCCCTCTCAGTACTGCTTTCGCTGCATCCCATAGATTTTGTGTTGTTGTGTGTTCATTTTCATTGGTTTCCATGAATTTTTTGATTTCTTCCTTGATCTCCTCGGTGACCCATTCATTGTTTAATAACATGCTATTTATTTTCCATGTGTTCAAATATCTTTGTATGTTCTTCTTGCAATTTATTTCTAGTTTCATGCCATTGTGATCTGAGAAGATGCTTGATATGATTTCAGTCTTCTTGAACTTGTAGAGACTTAGTTTGTGCCCTAACATGTGGTCTACCTTTGGGAATGTCCCCTGTGCACTTTAGAAGAATATGAATTCTCTAGTTTTGGGGTGTAATTCTCTGTAGATATCTATTAAATCCATTTGGGCTAGTGCTTCACTTAGAGTCTCTGTTTCTTTGCTAATTTTTTTGTCTAGAGGATCTATCCAGTGATGTCAGCGAGGTGTTGAAGTCCCCTGCTATGATTGTATTGCTATAGAATTCTCCTTTGAAGTCCTCCAGAAGATTTTTAATATATTTTGGTGCTCCTATATTGGGTGCATATATGTTTATCAAGTTTGTATCTTCCTGTTGGATAGATCTTTTCAATATTATATAGTGGCCTTCTTTGTCTCTAGTTATGGCCTTCATTTTGAAATCTATTTTATCAGATGTGAGTATTGCTACCCCAGCTTTTTTTCCTTTCCATTTGCTTGGAAGATTTTTTTTCATTCCTTCACTTTCAATCTATGTGAGTCTTTTGTTGTGATGTGGGTCTCTTGTAATCAACATATAGATGAGTCATGCTTTCTTATCCAATCAGCTACTCTGTGTCTTTTTATGGGAGCATTCAATCCATTTACATTTAAGGTGATTATTGATATGTACTTATTTATTGCCATTTTTGTTTAGTGTGGTTAAACAGTGTAATTAATGACATTATATTAAAAATAATTTCTTCAAGACACATAAAGCAGTTTTACTTTGTCTTTAGAATTTCAGTGATCACCAAAGTAGTTTAAAAGTTTCTCAAAATATTAAAATTTAAAAATTTTTTCCTCTGTGTGCACCCATGTACAATCTCTTTCTTTGATTTAGACAATTGCAAACATATTACATATACTACTTCATAACTTATTTTGCACGTATTTAATTTATTCATTTATTGAAAAAGTATTTATTTATTTATTAAACAACTACTATAGGGCACACACTGTTAACATCAGGTATACTGTGATTAACAAGATAAACAAGGTTTATGTCCTCAGATTACTTGCAACTCAGTTGAAAAATGGATGACAAAGACAGAAGCATAAATAAGATATTTTCACAGGCATTACTGGAGTTCAATCAAATTCTTCTTCACTCACTTCCCACAAAATTGAGTTACTTGAAGTAAGATAAGTTTCTGGATATGGAGGTGAATACGTGTTTATATGTGATGAGATTGGTTTTTATTCCCCAGAAATTTTTCTGTGAAGATTTATTTTCACAAAAGCCATAAATGTAAAAGAAAAACTACATTTTGCAGGTAGTTTTATGTACTTTGCTCTGTAATGCTGGGGGTGGGAGGAGGAACCAGAAGCATGGAGTGGCCTAGCACTTATTGCTAAGCTCTATGAATGTAGCAACAATTTGTGTTGGATTTAGGCCAGGTTAGTGTTCCTTCTGATCACAAGGCTGGTACTCTCAAAAGCATTTCAGTGGATGCTAAGGGAAAGGGAGGATGGGAAGCTGATAGTTACATTCATCCTGAAAGCTTCACAGTGGGTTGAGTTCATGTGTGCAAACAGAGATTACTATGCACTTCCCAAGGGCTTTTAGGTGGAATTTATCCAATAATGGCAATGTTCACAAGTCACACAGAAACATGTTTAGCTCCTACATTTTAATTGCATGCATAAATGTGTATTTATGATTACAATTTAGTAAACACACTTAAATTTTGGCCAATGGCAAGTAAAGACATTTTTTAGAGCAAAGACTTTTAAGTTAAATACTTAATGTGGTGCTGTCATTAAAATACCTTGCAATTACCTCAAAATCACTTGGACTTAGTATCTGCCCAAATGTGTGGGCAAAAGAGCATATGAGTGACTAGTGAAGCAATCACAGCTATTAGTAAAAGAATAATATAAATAACTAACCTGGGTTTTCCATTGACATGAAGACAGTTTCTCCTGAGAATGGAAATAGGGTAAGTGTGTCTTCAAAGACCATTTTGTGTTTGAAGGTATATCCAGAGAAGAAGACAGAAAGGAAGTCAGTCTGTGCTCCAACACTTAGAATGTACCAATATGCCACTTCATGCAAACAAACTGACAGCTGCAAACTATCAAAAACATAGCCATTGATGCCTGTAAAAGAAATGGAGAACAAGAGATTTTAGCAATATCATAATTTATTCTTTTGGATTGTCAAAATAGGATTAGAAATTATGTTATGCCCTAGAAGAGATAGCATTATATAGTCCAGAAAAGTATATTATTAATACTTGATCAGCTAGGCCCTAATCCTAAAGGGAGTGAGTTATAGACCATCATAGTAAAGATGGATTTGGATACTATATAGTGTGGGAGGAGTGGGAAGCAGGGTATTTGCATGGTCTCAACATGTCTCCCTACAAACTGCTTATTAGTTTCAAGGGAGAAAAGTAGTAACTACACAGAGGAGAAACCAGAAAAAAAACCTTGATCAGGTGATCAAAATTAACATCTGTTAATGCTCCAGATTCAAGAAAACTAACAGGTTTCAGAAAAGCAGGACAATTAGATGGAGTGTAAAGTCCAGAACTGGACCCTGAACTGGAGGGAGGAAATGCTACAAAAGGTAGTGCTGGTTGATACAATTGGCTGCTAATTAGATAAATGTATTGTATCAATGTTAAATTTTCTAAATTATACAACTCTACTTCATTTATGTAATACATCACCTTTATTCATAGGAATTATACAATAAAGTATTAAGAAATAAAGAAGCATGATGTCTTCAACCTATTATCAAGTGGAAAATAAGTAATAAAAGTATTACTTTTGAGTATTACTTTATGAGAAAATGATAACATAAATATAGCAAAATGTTAAAAATTAGTGATTCTGGGTAAAGAGTATATGGGAGTTCTCTGTACTATTATTCTTATAGCATTTCTGTAAGTTTGAAATTATTTATAAATAAAAAGCTAAACAAAAGTAACATTGACTTCAGTGCATAAAGGGAATTCTTTCTGAAGGCCTCTTCCATACATCTATCCATCCATTCATTCAATAAACACTTGTCTACTCTGCAAGGTGGTGGCCCACAAATTCACTAAGCAATGCTCAGTGCAACTAATTGAGAATCAATGTTTCTTTATACTAATTAAAATATATTATAAAGCTATTGTAATTAAAAGCATGGTGTTAATGCATTAATATCTAATAAAGGCATTATCTCAAACCTGTAGCAGAAAGAATGAGCTATTTGGTAAGTGTTGATACATAATATGACTATTCAGATAGAACCAGAAAAGACCCCAAATAACCAAAGCAATCATGAGAAAGAACAAAGCTGAAGGCATCAAACTCCCCAATTTCAAACTATACTACAAAGCTGTAGTAATTAAGAACAGTATGGTATTGGCATAAAAATAGACACATAGAGCAATGGAACAGAATTGAAAGCCAAGAAATAAACCCTCACATATATGGACAACAAATATTTGACAAATGAGCCAAGAATTCTTGGGAAAAGGATAGTCTCCTCAATAAATGATGATGGAAAAACTGGATAACCACATGCAGAAGAATAAAATTGCACCCCTACATTACACCATACAAAAAATTAACTTGAAATATATTAAAGACTTAAACACAATACCTGAAACTGTAAAGCTCCTAGAAAACATAGGGGGAAAGCTCCTTGACATTGATCTTTTTGAGATTATTTTTTTTTTGGATGTTACACCAAAAGCACAAGCAACAAAAGCAAAAATTAATAAGTGGAACTACATCAAACTACAAAGTTTCTTTACAGCAACAGAAACAATCAATAAAATGAAAAGTCAACCTAAGGAATAGGAGAAAATATTTTCAAATCATTTATATGATAAAAGGTTAATATCCAGCCCTGGCCGTTTTGGCTCAGTGGTTGGAGCATCGGCCTGCGGTACAGAGAGACCCGGGTTCGGTTCCCGCTAAGGGCACGTACCTCGATTGCAGTTTGTCCCCGGTGGTGTGGGTGGCGGCCACTCAATGTGTCCCTTCACGTCGATGTTTCTCTCTCTCTCTCTTCCTCTCTCTCCCTCCTGCTCTATCTGAACAAAAAATGGAAAAATGTCCTCGGGTGAGGATAAAAAAAAAAAAAAAAGGTTAATATCTAAAATGTATGAGAACTCGTACAACTCAATAACAAATCTGATTTTACAAACGGGTAGAGGAACTGAATAGACATTAAAAAAAAAAAGACACAAAAATGGTCATAAGGCCCATGAAAAGATAGTCAACCTCACTAATCATCAGGGAAATGTGATAATCAGTAAAATAAGTCACTAAGAGAAAGACAAAAACTGTATGCTTCCACTTATGCATGGAATCTGAAAAAGGTGAACTCATAGAAACAGAGTAGAATAGTAGTTACCAGGGGCTGAAAGGTGGGGGAAATGGAGAGATGTTGGCCAAAGGGTAAACATTTCCAGTTATAAGATGAGTAAGTTCTGGGGATCAAATAAATACTGTGGTGAATATAGTTAATAATACCATATTATATACTTGAAAGTTGCTAAGAGAGTGGATCTTAAATGTTGTTACTACAAAACAGAAATGATAAGTATGTGATGTGATAAAACTTTTAGCTAACACTGTGGTAGTAGTCATTCTGCAATATGTAAGTGTATGAAACTAACTTGTTGGACAACTTAAACTTATACAAAGTTATATGTCAATTGTATCACACAATAAAGCTAGAAACAAAATAAACAACAACAGACTTTGTAAAAGGGTACAATTTTAAGGGTAAATCCCTCCTTAATGGAAATAGAAGGGTACATAACTTACAAAATAGTAAAGAAAAAAGATGCAGTTTTTAAAATCTTAATTAAAAAGCAATAAAGGAGAAAAATGTAAAATTCAGAAGAAAGGAAACAGACAATAAAATAGTACAAATAAATCTCATGTAATTGGGCTAAATTCCTCATGTAAGAAAGATGGTCAAATTGAAATTGAAAAAGATAAAATATCTAACCCTTTTTCTCTAGACTTATATTGCCTCACTCTTTCATAATGTACTTACATGATTTTGTTCTTGAAACAAAGTGGGAATGAAGTGATAGAGATATGCATAAAAATACTGAGGAAAGACCTCCTAACCCAGAATGATCAGAACATATACTGTCTTGAAAAACATCACACTCTACATATACACACATACATGTGTGTGGTATCTGTTTTGTGTTCATTGTTTATTTTACAAAATGAGACCATATTTCATACACTTTTCTCTGCCTACATCTTATTATTCAACAATATCTCTTAGAAATTGCTCTAAGTGGCCTGGGTATGCCACAACATTTCTCTTTATGTACTGTTGCTTTATTTTTATGGGATACATCCCAGCTCTAGGAATGTTAGGTCAAAAAGCATAATTTTTTTATTAATTAATTTTTGTTACAGATGTTTCTCCTTTTCCCTGCAACTGACACCCTACGCCCCATCCCCCCCACACCATCCTCAGTTTTGCTATCTATGTCCATGGTTACACATACATGCATATAAGTTCTGTGGTTTATCCCTTCCCTTCACCCCACCCCCTTCTCTTCTGAGGATTATCAGTCTGTACCCTACTTCTTTGACTCTCGGTCTATTTTGTTCATCAGTTTGCTTAGTTCATTACACTCCAGCAATAAGTGAGATCATGTGATATTTGTCCTTCTCTGTTTGGCTTGTTTCACTTAATACTTTCCAGGTTCCCCCATGCCATCTCAAAAGCTAAGAGATTTTTCTTTCTTACAGCTGCATAGTAATCTATTGTGTATGTGTACCACAATTTTTTTTATTAATTTATTTTTATTACAGGTGTTTTTCCTTTTTTCCCCATTGACATCCTCCTCCCCATTCCCCCTCCATCAGTCCCCAGCTTTGTTGTCCCTATCGGTTATGCGTACATGTATATAAGTTCCGTGGTTTATCTCTTCCATCCCCTCTCCCTCTTCTGAGAATTATCACTCTATACCTTACTTCTATGTCTCTGGGTCTACCCTGTTCCTCAGAATGTTATGTTCATTATATTTCACAAATATTTGAGATCATGTGATATTTGTCTTTCTCTAATTGGCTTCTTTCACTTAATACTTTCCAGGTTCCCCCATGTCATCTCAAAAGATAAGAGATCTTTCTTTCTTACAGCTGCATAGTACTCCATTGTGTAAATGTACCACAGCTTTTTTATCCATTTGTCTACTGGTGGACATTTGGGCTGTTACCAGATATTAGCTACTGTAAATAGTGCTGCTATGAACATGGGGGTACATATATTCTGTCTGATTGGTGTTTCAGTCTTCTTAGGGTATAATTCCTAGAAGTGGGATCACTGGGTCAAATGGAAGTTCAATTTTTAATTTTTTGAGGTAATACCATATTGTTTTCCATAGTGGCTGCAACAGTCTGCATTAACACCAGCAGTGTATTAGAGTCCCCTTTTCTCCACACCCTTGCCAACACTTGTTGTTTGATGATTTGTTGATGGCAGCCATTCTGACAGGTGTGAGGTGATACCTCATTGTTGTTTTAATTTGCATCTCTCTGATGATTAGTGATGATGAGCATTTCTTCATATGTCTCTTGGCCATTTGTATGTCCTGTTTGGAGAGGTGTCTATTTAGGTCCTCTGCCCACTTTTTAATTGGGTTCTTTGTCTTCGTTTTGTGGAGTTGTATGAGCACTCTCCATATTTGGGAAATTAACCCCTTATCTGATGCATCATTGGCAATTATGCTCTCCCATATAGTGGGATCCCTCTTCATTTTGTTGTTTTTTTCTTTTTCTGTGCAGAAGCTTTTGAGTTTGATGTATTTCCATGTGTTCATATTTTCCTTTGTTTCTGTTGTTTTAGGTGTTGTATCAGTGAAAATTCTGCTGCGTATGATGTCTGAGATTTTATTTCCTATAGTTTTTTTCTAGCATTTTTATGGATTTACGAGTCACATTTAAGTCTTTTATCTATTTTGAGTTTATTCTTGTGTATGGTGTAAGTAGGTGTTCTAGCTTCATTTTTTTTGCTAGTACCTCTCCAATTTTCCCAACACTATTTATTGAAGAGGCTGTCTTTACTCCATTGTATGCTCTTGCCATGTTTGTCAAATATTAATTGAGCATAATGTCTTGGG